CAAAGACAGATGTCATTGTTCATAGAAGCGTTTCACCTTAACTTACCTCTCAGCTGTGTAGCAACACAGAGAAATAAAACGGACATTGAAAACCAGAAATTCAGCTTTGCATTGGACTTCATTGTGGTCTTGATACACGTTACAACAATCGGCGACTTTGCAAAAACTAAGTGCCAGGAGAGGCAGTCCCTCCTCATGCAGATTCCTCCGCGTAACTTAAGACTTAATATAGCGTGCAGGGTGTCACGTGATTCCACCAATTTTAATCGACAGAAAAACAATCTCACTTCTTCCATTTAGGATGAGTTAAACGCGGAAATTGTTTTTACTATCTGGATAAATCTATGTTGTTTTTTTTTGCGAGGGTGATCACTTTTCATAAAGGTATTTATGAGGAAAAAAAAGGTCGACAGTATAGATCAGGGGTGGGCAATCTCAGTCCACGAGGGCCGGAGTCCCTGCAGGTTTTAGATCTCACCTTGGGTCAACACACCTGAATCACATGATCGTTACCAGGCCTCTGGAGAACTTCGGGACATGTTGAGGAGCTAATTTAGCCATTTAAATCAGCTGTGTTGGTTCAAGGACACATCTAAAACCTGCAGGGACACCTGGCCCCCTGTATAGATCAGTCCTGCCTGCTTACCTGTATCTTTTGCTCGTTTCTCCTCCTCTTCTTTTCTCTTTTTTCTAAACTGAGCACCTGATGGCTTTGAACTTTTCTTGTCCATCTTCCATTGGTTTTAATTTTGCACTCCAGTATGAACACAAATCCCCCAACCCGAGGATCACCACAACACCTAGTTCAGATTCACTTTGTCTAAGGTGTATTTCTAGGATTTCGCACAACCCAGGATTCAAATCATGAATACATGATGGGCTTGGATTTACATCATTATGAATGAAATGTGCTCTATTTGGAAGCAGCCGCCCCCTCCCCTTTCGAGGTTGTGTGTGAGACTTTAAATCATCAAACTGTAAATTATAAATTTAAATTGTTATTGATCCCTTTACCCCGAGTCCTAAAGTGTATATTTATTTTCTTACTCTTCTTATATTTATTGTTTGTTTACTTGCACTGCTGTAACTGGAGCCTCGTCGTCTCGTCTCTCTATATACTGGACTGTATGTAGCGGAGATGACAATAAAGTTTACTTTGACTTCAGCAGCGAGCAGGCGCACCGAGGGCTCTCGCGCTCACTTTTCGCGTATAGAATTTCGAAAAACATCGGTGCAAATTATAAGTCTGTATCATATTATTGTTGGTTATTAGATGCTTCTCCAGCCAGCCCGTATCAAAAACCGCTACTGTATAGATGAAAAAACGCAAAAGCACGAATGTCAATGTTCAAAGAAGTGTTTCCTCTTACTCACCGTCCATGTCTGCAGCAACACAGAGAAATAAAACGGGCATTAGAGAGCAAAAAGTCTGCCTGGCATGGCACGTCATGGTGGTGTTGGGGCAGATTACGACACACGATTGTGCAAAAAGTGAGAGAAAAGCCAAGAGAAGTAGGGCTTCCTCATATGACGCAGTCTCCTTGTAAGCGCATGTACTGTATCCTGCGGGGTGTAACTGGATTGCACTGATTTTAAGGCACAGCAAAAAGTGATCAAAGTACAGCAAACTGTCTGTCCCACTGCTGTCAAGTCAGTCAGTGTCGTTGCCTGTAGGTTACGCAGACGGCTGCGTGTTGAGGGAAGCAGTATCCAAAAGCAGACGCGTGGAGGCGGATTGAGCTGTATCAATACCAATACTTTTAACCAATAAAGTGAGGTTATGTAGACGAGAGCAGCGAATCATTATCCGTTTGCCAAATTTTGAAACCAGTTTAATGACCATTAAATCACTGTGATTTTTACTTTTCGCAGTAAAACACATCTTTCAGTTTTTCACGTACGGTAAATACATTGTAATGTAAATGTGCCGGTCTTTAAAACACTTTGGGTCAACCTCTGCTGTTTAAATGTGCTATAACATATATAAAATATGTACAGAAAAGACATGACAGCCAACACAAAAATATTCAGACATTTTTCATAGTGCACGTTTGAGGTATATATTTTAAATTAGTACCAATACCAACCAAAAAAATTAACATATTTTAAAAGATGGAATGCTAAGTTATCAGGTAACACTAGAAATACGCATACAATCCCCATAGCTAAACAACTGCTCAGATTTCTCAAATGGACTACTGAAATATATTTCATGCCAGACAATTTTATCAAAAATACACATAAAATACAAACACTGTTAGTAGAGGTAATGCCTAACAGGCGACCTGCCAGCATCACCATTCACCAATCATAGTGCTTAATGTTAATCACTAGCACAATCACTGTGCTGTGTAAAAGAAACATCCACTCCTATATAGGTAATATGAGTGGGATAGGTGTAAAGATGAAAAGCAGTTTTGCATCAGCCATGAAAACATGTAAGCTAATCACAACACCTAAAGTTTTATCAAGGCATGAAGTTAAGATGAGTACTGCAGTAGAATAATATACCTAAACAGGGTATATAATCCAGATTTCATCAAGGGGCACAAAATTTATAGAGTGCATGGTGGCCTACAATTACAATGCAGCTTTACTGATAGGAGGCTCTTTTTGGCTGGTGTCACAAAGGGTCACCACAGCGGTTAACTTAAATACCTCTTATGAGAAAAAAATAAAAACTGAAAAGAACCAGGATGTCACATCTGTTTATTTTAACAAGGTTTTTTTTTTTATGTTATGACAGCTGCTCTCAACTAGCACCCTTTTATCTACTATTTTCTTTCACTTCCACAATTACACTTTGATTATAGTTAAGTAAAAACAGTTGCATTCGTTTATCGATGATCAATGTCTTAAACTATACAAAAACTGCTCTTGTCATTATAAAGGATTATTTGACATACCCTATGTTTACTATGTGTAAAGAATGGTCGCTAAATGAATTATGATTTATTCTAATTATTTTAAAAATTGATGGAGCAGAGACCAGATGTGAGTTTTCTACAGCTCGCTGCGTTCTGCATTTTCCTCATGCTGTTTGATCTTCTCTGGGACGGTCTGAGTCAGGAAGACAAAGCGCTCCTTCTTCAGGTGCTGAGCAGTTACCTGCTTTTTTAAACCAATCGCCAGGTACTTTTCTTCTGCTCCATACTTTGGCCAGTGGACAAGGTTGTGCCCATCAGGAGATCTAAACACATATACATTTGTTATTAAGTTCGCCTCTGTCAGTACGCCCCAGGGTAGCTGTGGCTACAATGTAGCTTGCCATCACCAGTGTGTGAATGTGTGTGTGAATGGGTGGATGACTGGATGTGTAAAGTGCTTTGGGGTCCTTGGGGACTAGTAAAGCGCTATACAAATACAGGACATTTACCATTTACCATTCAGTTATTAAAAGTGTGAAGTGTGAAATTTACAACAGTTGGAAATTCCTACCCTGTGCGAGCAAAGTTCCCCCAGTAGCTCATCATGATCTTGCTCAACTGTTCCTCATCCTCAGGGCACGGATCTAAAACGATCATGTTGCAAAACATATTTTTCACACTTGGAAAACAAAACAGATCTAGCACTAAGGCTGATTTCTATGTTATCTTACTGGGTAACCTAATATGGGTAGTTGTGAAGCAAAATCCCAAAACTGTAAAAATTTCATCTGCATGGTCAGTCCCGACAAAGCTCGGCCTTTTCTGCTGCAGGAATTTGGGAGGATGTTGGTACTCATACAGGTATACAGGAGCACCTGCATCTGGAATTAGACAAATGTGTGTGATATTTGTTAATGAAAGTGTGTCACAGTAAACATCAAGTGTTGGGTTTTAAACAGATTTGTATAATCTTTCATTAAACAAATTAAATTACCTCTGTGAGCATTAGCAGCTTTGATCGCTGGAATGGTGAAAAACAAATCTCCAAGCATCTCAGTGTACCCATCTCTGTTTTTCACACGGTCGTCACCATTTCCGATATATTCATCAGCTATCACATCTCTGATAAATGCTGCTTTAGGCTTAAAGAAATAAGCAACACATCAATCAAAGAAGCTCGAGCAGGTCGGGGACAGTAATATTGTAACATCAAGTGGTGTCTGCCTTACGTCGGGGTAGAAGAAGGAAACCATGTTCAAAACAAATTCCCGATCTAGTCCTTCTGTCCAGTTTTGGGGAGCAAAAAACTAAGGAAATACCAAGCCAAATTACATTTTATCTTTGCTGTTGTTTTGCAATTTTAAAATTATATTGAGATCTTTATTCAGAAGTTACTTACTGATACAAGTATCCATCCACCTTCATCATTATTGACACCAGTCATGAATGGAACAGCATGGAGTTCATGTTTACGAAACAGCTCATCCACAGGTTTAGTCAGGAAATGTCCATCAACATTTACTTGAAATCTCAAATTTGGATCCTTGAGAGAATTAAATATACAAAAGTAAAAGATGTGATAGCATGAACAGAGCTGAGGGAGAAATCAAAGGCTTCAAAGAAATATTGTAGAAGACATAATAATCATTCTCTATCATGTTTGCACCCATTACCTCACCTGTGTAAAACCCACTATAGTATCAATGTCAAGGTTTCTCATGCAGTCACTGATCTTCTTTGTGCTTTCAAGACTGCAGCCAGATGCGTTTGCAATTGCCTGAGGTGAAATGGCAAATATTCTTCAAAAACAAATCCATTTTAATATTCTCATTATTCTGCAACAAAAATGTTTAACCCTCCAAAAAGGAAGAATATGGATAATTAACCTGCGCCATTGGTAGAGGATCATTTGCCACAAGTACATTCATTGCAGCTGTGCCACTCTCAGCAATAGCACGGTGAAACAGCCCATCAGACAGTGGTGACAGGAGCTGATGATTCAAGTAACACATCACATATTAATTTTTGTTCTAGAGTGAAAAGGTTTATATAAAGTTCCTCTAACTGTAGATTCTTACCAGAAGAGACAC